GGCTCGGGGCGCCGTGCTCGCCGCCTTCACGCACCGTCTCCTCCTCCCTTCCAGCTGATAATAAAGTGGCCCCGGCTCCTGTTCCAGCCCAAGCCGGGGAGCTGCCGGCGAAGTGACGTGGGGCTGACGCAGAGAGGGGCAGAAACTCCACAAAATGAGCCTGAAATCCAAAAAAAAATGGTGTTTTTTTCCCTTATTAAAACAGGGGGGGGGGGGGGGGGGGGTAAAAGGGAAGTCTGAGGGCTTAATTTTTATTATAATATGTTAGTGACTTGTAAAGAGCCTTTGCTGAGCCTGGCTCAATTTGCTTGTCATGAGATATCTGACAACTACATAGCAAATGGGGTTTACAACATATAATTTACTTCTCAAATGTAAGTTTTTTAAGAAAAAAAAAAGCATTCCTATCCAAACTTTATTCTATCAGGAACTCTGTCTTCTCTGGGTTTTTCTTGCCTGGCACAATGCAACATTTTCATCTTGCTTTCACTTACTGGCTACTTGTAGAAGAATTTGGACCTTGCCAGGGAAATTTACCTTTCTGTCAGGGTAGATTTCCAGCTTCAGAAGTAAAAAAGTTAAGATTAACTCCTTGGTGGTCTACACCTCCCATGGAGGGGCAAAGATTAACGATGTAGGGACTGCAGATTGTGCTCATTGTCATAAACTCTTCTAAAAGGGGAATAAAGGTTCCTCTGCAGCTTGAGTAATGAGATTTTTAATTTGACTTTTGCTTTGCTGTGTTTTGTGGAGGGTCTTTGCCAACTGAATGGAATTGCCCATCTCCAACTTGGTTATCACTGCAAAAATAGATTTCTTCATTTGCTTTTGCTTTTTGAAATTTTACCACTATTCTTTTGCATTTACTTGGCCTTAATCAAGACATCACCAGGATGACTACGGGAGCAGAACTGAAACCATCCATAGAGTTTTTGTATTAAGTAGTTCTCCAGATGGCTGCAGGTCAAGATGGTTGTCTCCCTGGAAACATTAATCTTAGACGTAGTATTTGCTCTGAGACTTTCATACCAGTTATACATGATCTTTTGAACACTCAATAATATTCTTTATTTATTGTAATTAGATAACTGACTTGGATTAATTAGCCTGGAACAGCAGCAGCGTATTACAATGAAGTGCAAGTTTGAGAATGTTGTGGGGTTTCTCTTACAATTAGAATTTAAATTACTATTTAAAATGACACTTCATTTCCATTTTTATTCTTACATCCATCAACACTGATTTTATTCTATGTCAAGAAATGGAATAAAACTGACATTTTTTCAGCACTGCAGTAAAAGATGCTTTATTCTCTTTTCTGAGACGCTGACAGAGGAGTCACTTAAAATGAGCCTGTTTGCAATACAAGCCTTTTTTAAGTTGTAAGAAGAAAAGCCTTTTAAAACTGCATTTATCCACTCCTGTTTTGAAAGACAGAATAGGTAGCCTCGCTTGAATATGATTTTTATGTTTTAAAATGTAGTATTTGGTGCAGCCTTATGAGCTGGATGTAGGCAATGACTGTATTTGCATCTCTGCACAGATGGAGGATTGGGTAACTCAGATGGAAAACCACAGAGCCATCCAGAAATGGGCAATAGTTTTGGGGATACACAAACCTTGTAACAAGCCTTGAAAAGTCAGAGCTTTGGCTTCCTCTTTGACAGAGAAATTCAGAAGCAGAAGGTACCACCTGTGCTTTCTTTCACTTTGTGTGTGTACAAAAGGCAAGAATGCTCTCGGAAGTTGGACTGTTTCCTTCTGGCACAAATATCTTACATATGCTTAAGAAAATCAGAAGGAATGCAGAAGACTTTCTAATGAGGAGAGCACTGTAGACCAGCTGGCTTAAACTACAGTAGCTGGTTATTAGTACCAAACCAGGACAAGCAATATGAACTCGAATTTTCTTAGTATGCAGCAGTAGTAAAGGAACCAAGTGGCATCTCCATATTATCATGTTCATGTGCAAGATGTTACATTTTTTATAACATATTTCTTGAGGCTAGATCTTATTTTTATGGATGCACACGTGCCCCTGGAATCACCAAAGTGAAACTGAATTTTACAATTTTCTGTTGTTTTCAAACAACAGAAAAAGAAAACCAAAACAGTACCTGAAGACATTCCACTCCATCCTTGGCTAAACATAGCCATTGGATTTCTGCATGAAGAAAAGGAGGTCTATTAAAACCACAAAAAGGCTGGAATCCCAGTTTATGTAGCAGCTCATCACATTTATTTGGCATTCACCTTTTGCTTTAAGAAACTGAAGGCCCTACAAGGAGTCAAAAGTCACACCAAGTGTGATCAAAGATTTAAGCCTTTGTTAATTTAACCATACTGTAATAGGCAATGACAAATTATAGGCTTTGAATTGGCTATTATTAGTTAGAAGAGTAGTCTGGAGTGAAGGATGTCCAGGAAGAAACTCTAGAAGAAGCTCAGATGCAGGTCAAACCTGATCCAGTCCCTGGGTTAGGGAAACAGTTCTCTGTCTTTAAAAAACTCAAAACTCGCTTGCATCCCACACTGGGATGAAACAAAGACACTTCAGCTTCATGCAGCATTAGACTTATCTCTCACCTCTATCCTTTGTGCAGACACTTTCTGAGCAATCCAAAAGTGATGCTTGGAAAAGTAAATCATCTTCTTCACAGCTCAGAGCATCTAAACATGTAACTATCTCTTTGTGACCCTCCAATTCCTGGAGCCCTATGAGCTGCAATTGCTTCCCGAACTGAGGAATCCTTCCTGCCCGTGGAGATACTTGTTATGGTCACCGGGTGGCGCAATAAATGTGTCATTTGAAAGCTGCTTGAAGGGCTGGCAGTAAGGTGGAAGAAACCTGGAACCTCTGCAAGTTCACTCCCTGACTAAACTGTGATAAAGAAAAACCAGTGGAATAGTTCCTTCCTGGGTATTCAAGGATTTTTCTATTATACTGAAAGCTCAGCACTACTTTTTTACCATTTTAATAGCTGATGCATTTCCAAAAAGAAACGTGCAAAGAATAGGATAGTTCCAAGTAAAATAAGAAAACTGACAAAATATCCTAAGGTACTTAATTTTTAAGGGAAAAAAACTCCTAATCTTATGAATTATTTTTTTTTTAGTAACAGTTTTGACCCAAGCATGCTATAGATATTTTCCCTGCAAAGGTACGGGACCTACTGTAATGCACTGGAGAAAAGTCTTAAGGCTGTAAATACTACTGTTACAGTACATGGGTGTCTTACTTCAATATAATTTCCATTTGTCTGTCTTTAGTTATGTTTGGATGTTTGTTAAAATCACTGGTAGCGTATCTCAACTGGAGCACACTGTGGGGGTCAGCGCAGACGAGATGCAGGAACAACCTCAAAATCACGGATGAGTTGCAAAGACTAAATTTATTTTCATTGCCTCGTGAACTGGGAGATCCCCAAAGCAGCACTCTGGCAGAGGTGCACACACAGGGACGGTGCTGCACTCCGTCCATGCCAGAGGATTGCAGACCCTGCTATTTTGCTGATAGATGTCTAAAAATTCCCTTAATTCTTTCGGAGTGTAAGCAAGTGTGATCTCCACTCCCCCATCCACTTGTTCCTCCTGCCTCATGATTTGTATGCAGGGTCGTGTTCCACCACCTCCATGCCTTTTAAATCCAGCTCAAACTCGACCTCAGAATCTGAGGATTTGCTCCAGACATTTCCATCCCATTCCTCAGGATCCCACAAAGGTTTTGTGGCGAGAACACAAACTTGGGAAACTGAAACCTTACTTTTTCCATACCTGTCCCTTTCTTTATCAGCAGTACACGCTACCAGCTGCTCTACAGTAACTTGCAGCCCATGGACGTTCTCTGCTTGAGCCCCGTCAACAGGGGACTCTTTCAGCACAGGCCAAGCTCAGCGGTGCCTGCGTCCCAGCCTGTGTGCCTCTGCCCAGGTGCTGCTCCGGGGATCCCCTGGCTGGTGAGGCAATGGAAATAAATTTACTCTTTGCATTTCTTCTGCGGTTTTGTGGTTGTTCCTGCACCCTGCCTGTGCTGACTCACACACACACACATTCACTCCGGTTCTGCAGAATTCAAGTAACATCATTAATTTTCTATGCGTTTGCCATGTTATTTAAGAAATCTTCCTTTCAGGCACAGTATCTGTTCATGAATGTCAAATTGATATCATCTGAAATCTACAACTAACACAGACTGGGCAATAAGTTCCAGAAAATACCAGTCTTACATAATTAGAAAGACATTAATTTCTATATGAAAAGGACATTTGCAAGGTTGTTTTCTACTTTGGCAACAAGCAATCAAACAAAACCACAAACAGTTGTCTGTGTTTTTCGCTTCTGCTGGATGTGGCTTATTTATTGACCACATTTACAAATCCTCCATTACCTGTGTCTGCCTCAATTTCCTCTCGGTTTATTTTGGTACCTATTATGCAGAGCAAGAGAACAGAATTGTAAGGTGTAACACCTACAATCAGTGCTGTAAGGATGGGACATGAAGGCACATTGGAAATAAACTCACTTGGGGCTATCAGCAGAGCAGTGCCACGTAAGAGAGCAGCTCCACCTGGTTTCTTGTAGCTAGATGCCCCTGCCAGCCCCGCTGCTCCCTTCAGCACCCTGAGGAGTGAGGATGCACGCTTTGGAGGGTATTTGCAGATATTCCTCAGCA